CTGTGTTTGTAGCGCTGGATTGGGGCGTAGATTTTGGAGGAGAGGTGGCCGGCCTGTGGTGCCGTGCGGGTGTCAGCCTTGCCAGTTGGATCGCAGTTTCAACGCGTGTTGGGGCTGCGGGAGGGAGGATCGGGCTGCTGACAAGTGTTGAAGTTTGTGGCAATCAGGATACGTTCGGGAGCTGGTATTGGTGGGCAGTGGTTTGCCGGCTCGGCTGGACGGAAGGGCTTGTGCATGCGTTTTCAGTGAAGAGTGGGAGTCGGAGGGTGGTTTGTTTGCCGCTGGTGACTTGTTGATTTGCGGCTGTGTAGGTGCGTGGAAGGGTGTTAGGCGTTTTGGGGTTCAGGACGTGAGTGGCGCGCATTGGGCGGGAGAAGTGGAACGGCTTCGCTCTCCAGCCGCTTTGCCGTTAGGGTTGCGAGGCAGGCCTTCGCAGCTGGACAGTGTGGCTGTGTTCCGGTTCGCTGGTGTGTGGAAGAGGTGTTTGGATGCGTGGAAATGAGAAGCTGTGTTTGTAGCGCTGGATTGGGGCATAGGTTTTGGAGGAGAGGCGGCTGGTCTGTGATGCGTTGCGGGTGTGAGAGTTTTCAGTTGAATCGCGGTTGCAGTGTGTGTTGGTGCTGCGTCAAAAGGGAAGGGGTTTGCGAGAGGGGTTCGGAATTTGTGGCAATCAGGGTAAGTGCTGGAGCTGATGTTGGTGGGTAGTAATTTGCTGGTTTGGCAGGACGGTTGGGCGTAGGCATGCACGTTATGCGGCGAGTGGGAGTCGGAGGTTGGTTTGTTTGCCGCTGGTGACTTGTTGATTTGCGGCTGTGTAGGTGCGTGGAAGGGTGTTAGCCACTTTGTGTTTTAGCTGGTGCGTCTCGGGCATTCGTCGAGGGTAGTGGAATAGCTTCGCTTTCCAGCCTTTTTGCCGTTTGCGTCGGGAGGGGGGCTTTTGCAGTTGTACAGTGTTGCTGTGTTATGGTTCGCTGGTGTGCGGAGGAGGTGTTTGGCTGCGTGCAAATGTGAAGCTGTGTTTCTAGCGCAGGAGTGGGGCATAGGTTTTGGGGGAAAGGCAGCCGATCTTTGGTGTTTTGCGGGTGTCAGGGCTGCCAGCCGGATCGCAGTTTGAGCGCGTGCTGGGGCTGCAGGGAGCAGGGCCGGGCTATTGAGAAGGGTTCGGAATTTGTGACAATCAGGATACGTGCTGGAGCTGGTATTGGTGGGCAGTGGCTTGCTGGTTTGGCTGGACGGAAGGGCGTAGGCATGTTCAGTGAAGAGTGGGAGTCGGAGGCTGGTTTGTTTGCCGTTGGTGACTTGTTGATTTGCGGCTGGGTAGGTGGGTGGAGGGGAGTTAGGCGCTTTGGGTTTTAGCTAGTGAGTCCCCCGCATTGGGCGAGAGAAGTGGAATGGCTTTGCCTTCCATTTAGGGTTGGGAGTTAGGCCTTCGCAGCTGCGCAGTGTGGTTGTGTTGTGGTTCAGTGGTGTGTGTAGGGGGGCATTTGGATGTGTGCAAGTGAAACACCGTGTTTTTAGCGCAGGAGTGGGGTATAGTTTTTGGAGGAGAGGCGGTCGGTTTGTGGAGCCTTGCGGGCGCGAGCCTTGTCTGTTGGATCTTGGTGGCAGCGCGTGTTGGTGCTGCAGAAAGCAGGGCCGCGCTGCTGAGAAGGGTTCGGAATTTGTGACAACCAGGATACGTGCTGGAGCTGGTGTTGGTGGGCAGTGATTTGCTGGATCGGCTGGACGCAAGGGCGTACGCAAGTTCAGCGGAGAGTGGGGGTAGGAGGGTGGTTTGTTCGCCGTTGGTGACTTGTAGATTTACGGGTGTGTAGGCCTGTGGAAGGGTGTTAGGTGGTTTGGGTTTTAGCCAGTGAGTGGCGCACATTTGGCGAGAGAAGTGGAATGGCGGAGCTTTCTAGCCGCCTTGACGTTCGAATTGCGAGGCAGGCCTTCGCTGTTGCGCAGTGTGATTGTGTCGTGCTTTGTTGGGAGGTGCGCTCTGATGCGTGCAAATGAGAAGCTGTGTTTGTGGCGGAGGAGTGGGGCATAGGTTTTGGAGTAGAGCCGGCCGGTCTGTGGAGCTTTGCGGGTGTCAGCATAGTCAGTTGGATCGCAGGTGCAGTACGTGTGGGGCTGCAGGAAGCAGGGCCGGACTGTTGAGAAGGGTTCGGAATTTGGGATTCTGAGGATACGTGCTGGAGCTGGTGTTGGTGGGCAGTCACTTGCTGGTTCGGCTGAGAGGGCTTGGGTATGCATGTTCAGCGGCGAGTCGGAGTCGGAGGGTGGCTTGTTTGACGTTGGTGACTTGTTGATTTGCGGCTGGGTAGGTGAGGTGAGGCGTTTTGGTTTTAGCTGGTGAGTGGCGCGCATTGGGCGAGAGAAGTGGAATGGCTTCGCGTTTCAGCAGCTTTGCCGTTCGGGTCGGAAGACATGCATGCACAGCTGCACAGTGTGTTTGTGCTATGGTTTGTTGGTGCGTGGAAGGGAGTACTTGAATGCGTGCAAATGAGAAGCTGTGTTTGTAGCACAGGAGTGGGGCATCGGTTTTGGAGGAGAGACGGCCGGTCTGTCGTGCCTTGCGGGTGTCAGCGTTGTTAGTTGGATCGCAGTTGCAGTGCGCGTTGATGCTGCAGGAAGCAGGGCCGGGCTGTTGTGAAGGGTTTGGAATTTGTGAGCATCAGCATAAGTACTGAAGCTGGCGTTGGCAGGCAGTGAGCTGCTGGTTCGGCTGAGCGAAAGGGCGTTGGCATGTTCAGCGGAGAGTGAGAGTCCGAGGGTGGTTTGTTTGCCGTTGGCGATTTGTTGATTTGCGGCTGTGTAGGTGCGTGGAAGGCTGTTTGGCGTTTTTGCTTTTAGGATGTGAGTGGCGCGCATTGGGCGAGAGAAGTGGATTGGCGGATCGTTCCAGGTGTGTTGCCGTTTGGTTCTTGAGGCAGACCTTCGCAGCTGGACAGTGTGGCTGTGTTCCGGTTCGCTGGTGTGTGGAAGAGGTGTTTGGATGCGTGGAAATGAGAAGCTGTGTTTGTAGCGCTGGATTGGGGCGTAGATTTTGGAGGAGAGGTGGCCGGCCTGTGGTGCCGTGCGGGTGTCAGCCTTGCCAGTTGGATCGCAGTTTCAACGCGTGTTGGGGCTGCGGGAGGGAGGATCGGGCTGCTGACAAGTGTTGAAGTTTGTGGCAATCAGGATACGTTCGGGAGCTGGTATTGGTGGGCAGTGGCTTGATGGTTCGGCTGGATGACAGTGCGTAGGCATGCGTGTTCAGGGGAGAGTAAGAGTTGGAAGGTGGTTTGTTTGCCGTTGGTGATTTGTTGATTTGCGGCTGTGTAGGTGCGTGGAAGGGTGTTAGGCGTTTTGGTTTTTAGGATGCGAGTGGCGCTCATTGGGCAAGGGAAGTCGAATGGCTTTGCTTTCCAGCCGCTTTGCCGTTTGGGTCCTGAGGCAGGCCTTCGGAGCAGCGCAGTGTGGTTATGTTGTGGTTCGTTGGTGTGTGGAGGGGGGTGTTTGGGTGCGTGCAAATGAGAAGCTGTGATTGTAGCGCAGGAGTGGACGCCGGGTCATAGGTTCTCGAGCAGAGGTGGCCGGCCTGTGGTGCCGTGCGGG